GGGGTGGGTCGGGAGTACTTTGGAAAACAATACTAAAAACTGTCTTGTGATATTTCTCTAGAGGGCTGGTGAAAAAAAAACTTTTGTAGTGCTCCTTGTATTTAAGCTAAATGAAATATGCTTTTGTAGTTAAAACTAAATTGACTTAATTGAAACATTTTTATAAGGATTGCATCAATAAAACGAAAGTCAAAAGACAATATATAATACTCGTAAACGAGTTTCCTAGTATTGACGAACGACGAATAATTCAAAGTTGCAAGCAAAAATTGAACTAAGAAATAAAACAATCATTGTTGCTTTTTTCAAAAATCAAACTAAGCATTCTGAATACACCAAACACTAATAGATTAACATATAGTATCAATGAAAAATAGATTCTTCGAATATACACAGATCAATGATAAAAAGTTCTCTAAAAGTATAAATTTTGTTAGACAAAAACCATTACAAATTTAGTTAAACTGTTCTTAGACTGACATGAAACGAATTACTGACCATGTTTATTTTCGCACATGGAGATTACGTTCCATTAATTCAAATAAATCTCTTTTGTTATTGCTCATTATCTTAGATCTTGACTCGAGAATGCTTCAATTGGCCTAGTTGAATTTTATAGAAAATTAATCTAAAAATATTACAAAAATTATATAGCAAACTGATTCATTGCTTCGTCACTATATAAATCTAGTTTTTACTATTCATGTAACACGCGTAAACTAATTGGCATACATTTCAAACAAACAAAAAGACCGATATTGTGTTCTTTTATGATTGTCCAATCATCAAAATAAAAATAAAACTCACAATGCTACTTGAGAATCTCTGGTTAATGAGGACTTTATGAAAGTAGGTATGTTAGGGTCATCTATCATATCTATTTTTTTGCTTTCTTGTCCGTATTGCATTTTGAGAGTGCACAATTACGTCTCTACAATAAATGCAGAAGAATACAAAAATAAAGTTAATGACAATGAAAGAAAACCGAGGTCAATGTATAGTTTTTATTCCTTCCAGTTCTTATACATTGTATAGAATATTGAGAGAGAAAAAAACAGTTCGTACTGATCGTCTCAATGCATTTCGATGTGCAGTTAGGCAATGCAATTCGTGGGCATTATTCAGTACAAAAATGAACAAGAAAATAACTGCTTTCAACGTCATCAGAGAATACTAACGTTTGACATAGTCAAAAAAAAACAGAATATCTCTTGAATTTCAATTTTTTCATATAAACATTGAAAGTATTTTTTTTCTCTAAACGAATTTGTTTTTCTTTACGCTGATGTGGCATACATCGTTCTCAAAACAGATTCTATCGATATATTGTATACCTTGACCATTGAAAATGGCAGTATAGTTCCATTAATTGGATCTTATTTTTCCGCTAAGTAACAATCTATAAATAAGAAATTATAAGAGAGTAATCCAAGAAAGACTAGATGCATTAAAACTGAATTAAGCAATATGAATACTATAATATTTAACACATAAATTTATATAAATAGTTAGATGAAAGAAAGTGTTATGAAATCACTAAAATGTTCTGATTGTTTTGAAATAGCATACTAGATCCATAAAGTCCTGTAAAAATCTTGAGTTTCTCAAGCATTTTTTGGTAAATAATAGGGGTGTCGCATTAGCATTAGCATTAGCATTAATTAATGCTAATACTAATGCTTCTGCGTTAGCATTAACAGTTAACACTAATGCTTTGGCATTAATGGCATTAGCGTTAATTAATGCTTAGGCGTTAGCATTAATTTAGCATTATTTTTAATGCTAATGCGTATATGCAGAACAATTCTAGACTGCTACCTTGACATACTCCTTTAGCTTTTTAAGGGCTAGTTGGGGGTAGGCTCGGTAACTTTTCAAGGGCTTCCTAGTGGTACTCTTTATAACTCTTCAAGAGCTATCTGGGAGTACCCTTGGTAACTTTTCAAGGGCTTCCTATAGGCACTCTTTGTAACTTTTCAAGGGCTACGTATGGGTACCCTTGGTAACTTTCCAAGGGCTATCTGAGGGTACCATGGTAACTTTTCAAGAGCTATCTGGGGTTACCCTCAGTAAGTTTTTAAGGACCATCAGGAGTACCTTTTTTGCAATTTTTTAGCTGCTACACTAACCTTATAACAGTATTCATTTTTTGAGAACCACTCAAGTATCATACACAATACTTCATAAAGAATTGTCGTATTTGAAATAACATGTTCACTCATCAGGTTCATGAAGAGACGATTGAATGGCATACAAATGAATATATTGTATCATTAGGACAACAACACGTAAAATTTACTGAAAACCAGGTTATGCAATCTGTTAAACTAAAGCTTATGAGTTCTTGAAATTCATATGTAACATGCGGCGAATCTGGAGGAAATATTTCTAAAGTCAACTCCATACAAAAAATTCCTATAAATCAAACTAGTGAGACCGCAAAGCAGAACGGTGAAGAATTGTTAGTTTCTTTTTGCTAAGGTTTTTTTTACTGATTTTGACGTTCTCTGAATACTTCACCTTTGTTTTTATGTGAATTGATCCAATCACAACATAATAGAATATTCCCATTGAAAGATCAAAACTGGAACCAATTCTGAGTGTGATAAAAATAAAATCTGTTGTAATTTTGCAACACTTCGAGATTTTATGATCACTCGAATGCAATATATATTTCATGCAATGTTCGCCGCATTTGGTAATCTTCTATGTTTAAAAATATTTGGCAAGAAGATATTTGATGGAGAAGCCCTTAGAAAGTTTTTGTTCAACTTTTCGAGGCTAATTTTTTCGAGATTTTGCCTTCTTCCACAATAGTATCTTAGTGGAATATTAAAAATGTGAGTTGAAAATATGATTTATTTCTTGTTTAGAATCCTTCATGAACTATGAACTTTTCATATCATCGGATGAGTTGGAAGAACATCATGAAAGTAGTAGATGACAAGAAAAGAAAAAGCTTGTAGAACAACGTAATTCCACTAAAGTTTTTCTGTTTTTTTTTCAAGTTCATTGATGAATAAATGATCTGAGTTTGTCGAGTTCTTTTTTTTTTCTGAGCATTATTAAGCTTCTCAAAGATAAAGATGAAAGAGAAGCACGTCGTATGTTTTTGACAGCTCCGGCCACGCTAAACATTTGTTCAAGATATGTTGATGTAGCTGGGACCACATTGAATATGCGGGCCATTTGAGAAAGGCGAGGTAGAGAACTGTAATTAACTTTCCAAAAAGATTGAAATTCAACACCCTCGTTTTCTCGTACTAAATTTAAAAATGTAAAAATTTCAGAATCAATACTTAAAGGTTGAGATGATAATGATGATGAAATTTTCACGTCGACACTGTTAAGAAGACTTGTTTTGAAAGCGGACATCCGCTCAGCAAGTGAAACGGATGAAGCTGAAGTGGCCGTAGTAGGCAGCTTCTGACGAGGAAAAAGATCGATCAAAACCATATTTTTCATTTTGTTTATAATCAGTTGTTTTGTGTATTGATAATCAATATCATTATGCATTAAATCCAAATGAAACATTGGATCAAGGAACGCTGCTATCTAAAATTTAAAATACTTATATTTACCGTGTTTTAGACAAAGAAGTATAAGTGGTATGACAGAATTAAATGGAAAACAGTCTGAACGATTCATGTACCTGATTTTTCTTTTCTTTATAGCTACAAATTAAAAACGAAAAAGAGAATGCGACTTATACAACAGAGACATTTAAATAAATAATACTTTGCTTCTAGAAATGAGTTAATTTTAAAAGGTACAAGTAGCTTTACTCACCTTCATACAATCTTTTTGTTCATCGGGAATAAATTCATCAAGATAATACTGATACTCCAATCTTAAACTTTCATGTGCCAGTGTATGGTAATGTGATGGATAGGATGGTTTTTGAACACCAGCTTTGATCACCTCCAACGAAAAGTAAGCCAAAGATTGTGTTGGATATTGTCCTGATAGCATAGTTGTTGCTTTTTCGAATGGTTTAAGACAATCGTGAATAGCAACCAACACATCCCAATCGTCATGACTAATAAAAAGTGCACGAATTTCTACTTGTTGAGCTGTTGTTAAACCATTTATATCTCTTTTGTAAAAAATTTCTTCGACTAGATCTCGCAGATTAATAAAACGATCAATCATTGCAAAGCTGCTACTCCACCTAATCTATGAAATGAAAAAAAAAAGATGTTTAAAGAGTTCTTCAATGCAACTAGCTGCCTTAATTTTATTTGATTTTTAAACGAAACAACGCGTTCAGTAAATTCCATAGTCATTCAACGTGACCGATAAATATGTGCTGTTGTCAAAGCTACACCCTTTATCAAAAGTCTTGATTATATTTCCTCTCGAGAGTATTGCTTTGTTGAAATAATTCCTCTTGTGAGTTTGAGGCGTTACTAAAAATCGTAGACGTCTCATGAAACTTATTATTTTTGTGAATTGCTGACGAATGAAAATTTAAGGAAAGAATTTATGCAGCTTTTTATTTTTTGTGATTAAACACAAATCATGACTGCACCTATAGAAATGTTGTTTTTTACATTTTTTAC